CTCATTTTAAAAAAGAGAGAAAATTACCAGAAAGTGTGTTTTCATAACAGTAATGCTTCCATAAAATTTCATTGGTCTATCTCTTTTCGTTTTCAAGATAAAAAATTAAAACATTATTTTTCCGCCATCTTGGTACCGCGATATCTCCCTAATGGTTGACTTTTGACCCAACGTATATGAAGCAAACTACCCTTTATTTTGAACAAGGAATCACCCCCTGAAGTTTTTCGCATTTGTTTTTAAACACCCTGTATAAAAGACCAAGCACTTTTTGTTACATAATCCTCTCAGATATTTAAAAAAAAAATCTTATTTGGCCTTCCTAAATTCCTTACCGAGATATTTTAACTAAAAATAATATGATGAGCCGTAATATTTTTGGCAATTTTTTTGTAAAACACCCTCCGCACTCTGCTCGAAATATTTCGTGAAACGAGTCCTTATCCTTATCCTTATAGACACGTCGTGGAAATAGCTCGAGACAAAAAGAAATTGAACGAGACAACAACCGAAAGTCACAATAAAATCCCCCATGCCCTTTTCCGCAATTTCACGAGTAGTTTCGAGGTGTTTTTAAGAAATAAGGGTAGATCAAGACAAACGGAGATAAGCCGAGGCAACCGGAGATAAGCCGAGACGAGACAAAGTTAGGCGAGGAAACATGACATTGACCTGCTTCGAACTATTGTCCGTATAGTGTGAAGGGTGTATAAATTTTCAACGCTCTCAGAAAAATTAGAAAAATAGTAAACAGAGTCCGAAAATTTTGAAATTTCTCGAAATCAATTTTTCGAACCCTTTTTTCTAAAAAATCTTTATCATATTCTATTGTTATAGATTTTGTGTTTAGTTAATAACGGTAGTTCTATCAGAATCGGTGATTGGGCCAAAATCGCTCCTAAAACCGTCTAGCTTAAATTGATATCAAAATAATAACGCTGTACACTAGTTGTCAGCACGAACCATTTTGGCCCTATTATAATTCAGGACAATAACGCGTTCATTTTAACCGGGATTAAGGGCTTTCCCATCGGTTTCTGTATTAAATTTTCCTTTGTTATTATACGAATACCGATTAGGCACTAAGAACACAACATTACAATACATAGTTAGTTTAAGTTATTTTCTTGAACTTAAAATTTAGTTTTAAGAAATAGACTTATGTGATGTAAAGCATGAATAATATATATTATTCAGTATTTAATATAATTACAAAAAAACTAATTTTAAAAAGGTTTAACATCCTGTAAAACTATGCATTTCCATACCTAAGTTTATAGGAACTTTTTTTCATATTTTTTGATGAGGAATCAATGAGTACTTATTTAAAACTTTCGCAAGTTAATGATATCTATGTCTATACTATATAATATCCTTGTTTATATAATATCCATAATCAAGAATGATATTACATTTTTTTAAAGGTTGCTATTAGACTTGGATCAAGGCAAATGAATAAAATTGCGTTTATCTCATCAAGGAGGCCGAAATCAACTAAATATCAAGAGACAACTTTTAATCGGAATTAAACCGCTTACACTATTACGCTAACAAGAGTAAAAACGTCAGTGGCGTACATGCTTTTTTTAGAAAAATATTCCAGTGATATCCCATATGCACGTCACTGGTGAATATGTCGACACATTTTTAGCTTTAAAATATGTCGTATTTACAGTTATTTTTACCCTCAAAATTTCATTCGAAACGCTAAAAGTAGAAGAAAATTATAATAAATCGAAAAAAATATTAAGACATTAACACCCCGTAACTACAAAACAAAGCAGAATCGGACCTATGTTGATACGAAAAATAAATCTTATTTTTACGTGAGGAATCTCCCCACGAGAGATGGCACGTGTTTTTTGAAACACCCTGTATATTAATCGAAGGTATCCAATCAAATTGAGTATGTCTATAAAAACTCCGAGATTATATTGAAAACGTTTTAGTATAATGTGTTTCTGTTTAACAACGGACGGTCTGCAAGCACGAAGCATACTCAATGCTTCCGGCTTTAAAAAGAATTCTAATGCTTTTAGGAAGGGTTTTATCAATCGCCTATTTCACAAAAACGATAACAGAATAATAGATATACGTATTTTAAAACCAAATTACTTGTTAAAGATATTTGTAATATTCCGGAGAAAATGTTCAGAGTTTGAATTTATCAAACAGGGCAGAGATATAATTAAAAAGTTCGCAAATGTATCGTTTAAATGTCAAACCGCTGGAGAATATTGTTGGAAACTTCCCCCAAGTGCTTCTATCTAACTTGACAAGGTACACTCGATTTATTTTGCAAATTAGGGCTCGGAATTGTCAGTCCGGCCCACGGTTACGACACCGGTTCTTAATTTGCATCTGGATGTTTGGCTACATCCGGTTAAAACCCCTTCCACACAACTTTTAATTAACAAACTCTCTAATTAAGGTATGAAAATTACTGAACCCTCTCTACGTTTCATGGTAACTTTTAGAAAGCGTTTTGATAATTTTATTTTAACCCCCTCCAAGATGGTGTGGGTACCTCCGTCACTGACACATTACCATATTAGCTCGGGTAAGTCGGATGATCTCAGCCTGGCAGTGTCGAATCGGCCGAATCTGGAGTAATCCAGGAGAAACATAAAAAGGAAAAGAGAAATTTTCTATCTAATGTCAAGCCGCAGCCGTTGTATTCGCTTTTCCAAGCAAGCAGCTTAATTCCGAGAAGATTTTCTTTCCCTCAATCGGTTAAGTTTTATAAAGAAAATGCGACAGAGCTTTTTTTATTGTACGTCTTTATGTATTGAAGTTTAGAACTTCCAAAGAAAATTCAAATTTACTGTCATGAATAATTAATAGATTACAGTGTTCGTCTTCTTAAAATTAGTTTTTTAAGAACAAACTCTATCCCAGAATATACCGAGTGTCCCAGAAATAAGTGCAAGTATTTTAAAGGGTGGTAGATCTGGCCAAAAGAAGCATATTCTCTCTTTACCATATTTAAAATAAATTAATATTTACCGAGTTATTTAATTTTGAAAACTAAAAAAAATAATGGCAAGATTTTCAGAGCCGCCGGTAGCAATCGATATTCAGCCGCAAATACCAAGCAATTACCAGAATCTCAGCTTGTTCGACGCCCAGTGTTGACACAACGACTATTAAGATTTAAAAACGACTTGGAAATTTCAAATTAAAAGTAAAAACTTACCTAACATTAGAAAACGGGACTCCGATAGATAGCAGATCGATGTAATTAGGTTAGAGCATCGTTTTATCACTTTACCTACACTTAAAAACACTTCATTTCAATGCGATTTTTGACAGCACTATACTTACACGTGTATTTGGCACAAAAAACATTCATATGCCATCTGAATTATTTAGGATTATTTTTTGAGAATTTAAACTCCTCTGTTTTTCAATCTCACACTCCTGTCTTTGTGAATAAACACCAAAATAACTGATATTTCTATTTGAGTAATATAAGTGTTTTTGGGGTCGTACTATTACTACCAGTTAAAATACTTGCACTTATTTCTGGGACATCCTGTATAAACATTCAAAGACACTTTGGTTTGGTGCATTTTATCACCAAACCCAATTTTTTTCGAAATAAAAGATTTTTTTTATGATTGTATCCCAAAAAATGTTCGTATACGACACACGATTGACCATCTGAATAGTTGCATTTAAAAACCATGTGCTATTGTACCAATAGATTTTTTATCGATTCAACAGAACAAACTAATTCCTCCGCTTTTCAAAACATAAAATCATAAAAATTGTAGCTCTTTAGAGCACACATTTATTTTATTAAAGCTCAGTTCTTTGTATACAACCCTTAAAAGTTACATTTTTATTTCGATGGAATATAGCAGGGAAGAGCAAAATAACGTGAGCAAATAATAAAACCTGCAATGAGAGAAAAATACTTGACTGTACTTCAAATGTCAATGCACTCGGATACTTAACAGTTGCATGACCTGAAAACATCTCTATTTTTTCGTTTTGTTTTTGTGAAACAAAAAAACTCCGACAGAATGAACTAATTAAAACTGAATCGAATTTTCCGATCCTCACTTACACTAATTTAATACTGATAATTAAAATTCAGGATTTTACATTACATGCCCTTTGCAAGCAGCTAGTTTGGAATGTTTAATTTTGAAAAGTAAACAAAACCGTTTGTTTTTAACTTCGAATAACTTTAGTATGATTCAATTATGCAGTAACTTCAGTTTCGTAAAGTCAATATGGGCTTCTATCAATTAAGCTTTTTAAAATTCTATAAAATGAAAAATCATGAGTATATGCTTCAAAAAATCGAAAATTCTTTATACTTTTTCATTGCTCTCAGAAGAATAGTAAATGAAGTATATTTTGTTCTTCTATGCCACCAATTAATTAGTTATTAAGTATAGTTTTATCACAATCCATGACATGATCAAACGACGACAATTTTCATATATATGGAAAATAAAGTAAAAGAACACTAAAAAATTACAATAATTTTTTGGTTTTAAGTGACTAATAATTTATAAAATATTCTTAAAAAGTTATTTCGGATACAGTTTAAAAGAAGCACTTCACAAGACCAACATTATAAATAAACCAAAAATCCAGACAAAGGATTGATTTTCTGCTGAAAATTCTGTTAAAAGTTATGACATTTTTGATAAAATTTTATCGGCAACAAGAAGAGATTCTTGGACTGTTACAAGCCGAGAAAAAATATGCCCTTTAACGAAGATTGTTAGAAAGTATCCTTAGTAACTCTAATGGAACTTTATTGTCAATAGCAAGATCGAAGGGAAACAATTTGGCAGAAAATTGGAAATAATACCAGCGCGACGTCCAATTCTTTTAATTAAAGCCCTTCAAGTTTCTCCTCCCTTTCCTGTAGCAAATTCGATAAAATACTTCCACCTTTTAATTGACATTCGATCCTAAACGTTCCCGGTCCCCAAAAATAACAAATATCGAATCTTATCAAAGCTTTTATCGTATTTCAGGTCATGACGAGCCGTACGATCTTTACTATGACACCGAAGATGAACAAGAACGTCCTAGAATTAGCACTTTTGTTCAATCTTTGGCCAACTACTCAAATACCATTCCTCCTCCATCCAACGATCCGGACGCACCAGCTCAACCAAAAAAGGGTGCTCAGATGGGCACCCTAGTCGGTGTCTACCTACCCTGCATCCAAAACATTTTCGGTGTTATATTGTTTATTCGTTTGACTTGGGTTAGTACCACAAAATTTAGTTTGCAATCATACCATGTCACCATTTATGACTATATTGCAGGTTGTTGGTACAGCAGGTGTTATCTGTGGCTGGATGATTGTTTTTACTTGTTGTTGTGTTACTATGTTAACTGCTATATCCATGTCAGCGATAGCTACCAACGGCGTGGTGCCGGGCGGAGGAAGTTACTTCATGATATCCAGATCCATAGGGCCCGAGTTTGGTGGAGCCGTAGGTATGTTGTTCTATACAGGCACTACCCTGGCTGGTGCCATGTACATTGTTGGAGCAGTCGAAATTGTCTTGGTAAGTATTTTAATTAAAAACATCTTAATTTCAATAGCAAATAAAGTTTGCCACCTGGACAAGGTCAACTTATTCATATTATGATGTTAGGATTCAATGTTGACATTAACTGATTTTAGGTGTATATGGCACCAAGTCTAACGCTTTTTGGTGAAATATCAGACGATACAGTGAAATTTAACAATTTTCGTGTTTATGGTAGCGCTTTATTGGTTGTTATGGGTTTGATAGTTTTTGTTGGCGTTAAGTTTGTCAACAAATTTGCCACTGTTGCCTTGGCCTGCGTAATATTCTCTATTATTGCTGTCTATGTCGGAGTTTTCTACAATTTCAACGGCAGCGATAAACTTTAGTTAGTATTATTTACCAAATAAAAAACATAAGTTATAAAAAATATTTTTTTAGCATGTGTGTATTAGGAAACCGTTTACTCAAACTAGACGATCTAAGCGAATGTCACAGAAATACGACTGGGCCTTTATACAAAACCTTTTGTCCTAATAACGTATGCGATTCATACTGGCTAACGCACAATCTCACCGTGGAAAAGGGCATAAAAGGATTAGCTTCTGGAGTATTTTTCGGTAAAAAACCACCATAAGAGACTTCCCTGCCTGTGTTTAACCTATGACCTCATTTTTTTAGAAAACATTTTCCACAGTTTCCTCGAGCAAGGGCAGTTCATCGCCAAAGGAAACCAGCCTCAAGACGTAGATAACTTAGAAGATAATAACTATTCGCAGGTGATGGTCGACATCACTACTAGCTTCACTATCCTTATAGGAATATTCTTCCCTTCTGTGACGGGCATTATGGCAGGGTCAAACCGTTCTGGTGATCTAAAAGACGCACAAAAATCAATACCTATCGGTACTATATGTGCCATATTGACTACTTCTACCGTTTATCTATCGTCGGTGGTATTATTCGCCGGTACCGTAGACAATTTACTTTTAAGAGACAAGTAAGAGTTTTTTTAGTTTATATCCTTATGAGATTTAATTTAAATGTCTTTGTAGGTTTGGTAGCTCTATAGGAGGACGACTGGTGGTAGCTAACATCGCGTGGCCCAACCAATGGGTCATTCTGATTGGTTCGTTTCTCTCGACCTTGGGTGCTGGTCTTCAGTCTTTGACCGGGGCTCCTCGCTTGCTCCAGGCCATCGCCAAAGACGAGATCATACCGTTCCTGGCACCCTTCTCCGTATCATCTTCACGAGGCGAACCTACCAGAGCCCTAATTATCACTTTGATAATCTGCGAGTGCGGAATTCTTCTGGGCAACGTGGACGTCCTTGCTCCGCTACTGTCCATGTTCTTTTTGATGTGTTATGGGTTCGTCAACCTAGCTTGTGCCTTGCAAACGTTACTTAAGACTCCAAACTGGAGACCGCGATTTAAGTATTACCATTGGTTCCTTTCGTTTCTTGGATTGTCTCTCTGCATCGCAGTCATGTTCATGTCGTCTTGGTACTTGGCTCTGCTGGCCTTAGGAATGGCTGGAGTCATATACAAATACATCGAGTACAGAGGGTAAGGAATATGTGTTTCGTATCTTAATACGAAGCATTATTAATGTTGAATATACTTGTAGAGCAGAGAAGGAATGGGGCGATGGTATACGAGGACTGGCCCTGTCTGCAGCGAGATTTTCTTTGCTTCGATTGGAAGAAGGACCTCCTCACACGAAGAATTGGCGTCCTCAAATCCTTCTGCTCATCAAAATGACTCCGGAACTGCAAATCGAGCATCGAAAATACGTTTCCTTCGTTTCCCAACTGAAAGCGGGCAAGGGCTTGACGATTTGCGCATCTGTCGTTGGAGGGGATTATACAGAATCGGCTGCTGAAGCTGCCGAAGCCAAACAAACCCTTCAAACTGTGATGCAGGAAGAACGAGTGAAAGGTTTTGCGGAAATTCTGATGGCTAAACAGGTTTCCGAAGGATTGTGTAACTTGTAGGCATTATTTTGCGGAAAAATTAGCTCAAATCTCATCTTGAAACGATTTTAGGATACAAACGGTTGGATTGGGCGGTCTAAAACCTAACACGGTCATCCTGAGCTGGCCATATGGTTGGAGGGAAGACGCAGACGAAGAGCAATGCTTCGAACAAACAGTAAGAACATTAACGGCCGCCAAAATGGCACTCCTCATCCCCAGAGGAATTGACTTTTATCCAGACAATACGCAGAAAATCAATGGCAATATCGATATTTGGTGGATAGTACATGACGGAGGCTTGCTGATGCTGATTCCGTTCTTATTGAAGCAGCATCGCACATGGAAAAACTGCAAATTACGTATATTCACCGTGGCTCAATTCAACGACAACTCTATACAAATGAAAAAGGATTTGAAGCAGTTCTTGTATCATCTCAGGATTGAAGCAGACGTCGAAGTTGTTGAAATGGTTCGTTATCATATCTGTTTTGTTTCAAATTATATAATTCTTCTTTTGAATATAGTCGGACAAAGACATATCAGCGTATGCTTACGAAAGAACATTAGTCATGGAGCAACGTACTCAGATGCTCAGGGAACTGCAGTTGAACAAGAAGGAAAGTTTAGGAGTGGTAAGTTATATTTTTTTAGCAATGAATATTTGTACTAAACACGCGAAAACATTAGAAAGGTCTTCTTCTATGGAATATCATATACTGTAAAGTAAAGGATATTTCTTCAATAAATGGAAATATTATTAAGATATTTCTATTTATTCAAGATACTTATTTTTCTATGTTGTTTGAACTTTTCCAATTTTTCGTGTGAAAATTATTTTTGCTTTAACATAAATTGAAAAAGTTTAGTTTTTTAATTGGAGATTTTTGTAAGACGCTTACTAACGGACTAGAAGAAACTCTACTGGTAAATTTACGCACCATCACGCATCTCGTTGTATTTTTTTGTATATAATTTATTTTTGTTCTATCACACTTTCTGTTGCCTCATCAATTCATCTTGTATCGTCTAGATGTCTACACACTGTGATATAACTGTGATGTTAATTTGAGATCGGTTGAATCTTAATAATGCCATGATAAATATTCTTATAGGTGCAGTCGGTAGTAGATCAACATCACACGATTGAAAAAACTCCATCGAAGGTACGATTCGAAGAACCGAACCCGAATAACAAAAACGAAAATTCTACCGAACCCAGCGTTGAACCTACAAACGAGGTAAATAAAAGAAGCGACATAAAATTGAGATAGTAAATTATGCAAGTACAATTTTTTTCGTAGCCTAAGGAAGATTGCGAAAATAACACAACGGAAAAAGAAGACGGTGCATCGGAAAAAGAAAGCCTGAAAGCCCATAATAACAGTGACAGTATCAATTCTAAAGAAGACGAGAGCGTGTCACTGTAAGTAAACGTTACATGAGGGTTGTTTTTTCAGTATTAAACTGAATTTTTCTGTATTTTTTCGGAAATTACAGGGAAGCGGACACTTTGAGAAGGGTCCACACTGCAATGAGGCTCAATGAAACCATTAGATCTATGTCAAAAGACTCACAACTTGTGATTTTGAATTTGCCAAGTCCACCAAAGAGTCCTAAGCCAGGAAAACAAACTTATTGTAAGTATCATCATCTTCTAAAAACAACAAAAATATTTTTGTTTACATAACGGTATACAGGGTGTTCCATATGAATGCACACTACAAAGGTCTCATAAACGTCTTATTTCTAACATTTTTATTTGATTTACAATCTGATTTAAATCTTTGTATATCTTCTGATTTAAGAGATCTCTATAGTGGAACTTATTATATGGAACAATATATATAGGGTTTGTTTTAAAAGTGTTTTTGTCATACGCTCCCAAAAACAGCTATTTTACGGACTCATTTCAGTCCGTAAAATGTTTCTTTTTCGGCCTAGGCCGTAAAGGTCGTCATGGCAACCTTTATGGACTAAAATGTCTAAATTCGTTATTTGGTTGTTTTATTTTGTCATTCGAAATTTGTCACAAAATCACATAAAATTATACATATATTTATAATTAAATTATTAAATACTAACAATATCAAAAGCTAAGTTATTTGTTTAAAGTAAGTACCTAGGTACCTATTTAAAAGAGGCTTTTAAATTAAAATATTCTTAAATTACAGTCACAAACATTCAAACCATCGTCAATTTGGTCGAAATATTCCATGCTGAGAGCAGTGTTAAGTGTTAAAGAAGATATTTATATTGACAAATTTCCAAAACTTATTGCTTTTTGAAGAGGAATTCGGTTGGTTACGAGCCTAAAAAAGTCTAAGTTTTGTCCATAAAAGAGATCGGTGATTTTTGGCCACGGCTAGTGATGAAACTTATTTACTTACTAAGGTAAGTTTGCGATAATGATTTTTAAAATATATAGATGGTTTCTTATTCCATTGTATTTGATTTTTAAATTATTAAATACTAACAATATCAAAAGCTAAGTTATTTGGAAAAATAAAAATGAAATGAACAATTTTGTGCATTTTGAAAACTTGCATCTGCAATCGAAACGACTCCTCCATTGGCAGGTAAATTTACTTTCTGATGAGGTGGAGTAAATGCGAACGATGATGTACTTGGTAATACATCCGTGGAAGTGGTCGCGATTTTCTTTTCCCCCATTAGCAGTTTGCAAACTTTCTTCTTTTTCTCAATAGATTCTTCTATGTAACCTTCGGCCACTGTGGACGACCTAAATAATTATTGTTGTTTAGAACAAGATCGGAAAATATTAAAATTTTTACCTCCAACCTCCTAGGCGTTTCAGCGATGTAAAATCCACATCTGCATCTGCAGCAAGAGTAGCAGAACTACGTCGGAAACAATGACCTGTATATTCGTTTGGGTTCGACAACTTTAAAAATGCTGCTACAATCGATGGCATCTTCCCAAATGAATGAATGCCGACTCGTTGCACGGTGCATTTTCCTTTACGATAAGAGATGAAGACATAATCATGTGGTACATTTTTTGGCCTAAGACAAGCATATTTTCTATACAACTCAACTGGATTGACAACGTTCCCTTCGTTCACCACCGGAAACACTCTTTTGATATTAGTTTTTGTATCCGCAAGGGTAACTAAAAGGCAGCTGTTGTCTTTTTCTATGATGTCTTGCACTCGTGAGAGTACAATTCTTCTCTTCTACATGCTCCACAAAGGCCAATGACAAGAGCTACCTAAAATCAAATACAATGGAATAAGAAACCATCTATATATTTTAAAAATCATTATCGCAAACTTACCTTAGTAAGTAAATAAGTTTCATCACTAGCCGTGGCCAAAAAATCACCGATCTCTTTTATGGACAAAACCTTAGACTTTTTAGGCTCGTAACCAACCGAATTCCTCTTCAAAAAAAGCAATAAGTTTTGGAAATTTGTCAATATAAATATCTTCTTTAACACTTAACACTGCTCTCAGCATGGAATATTTCGACCAAATTGACGATGGTTTGAATGTTTGTGACTGTAATTTAAGAATATTTTAATTTAAAAGCCTCTTTTTAAATAGGTACCTAGGTACTTACTTTTTCGTGGAAATAATTTAGCAATACATCTTCATTTACAACGAATACGCCATTTTTTGTCTTTCCATTCATTAAAAACATCATATTCTTTCTGGTAAATGGCACGAGACTTCACAGGAAGTAAATCCAACACGATTTCTTTGGCCTTATTAGCAATATGTTCGGGATTTTGGAACATTTTAAAATTGTTGATGAATTTGTGTGATTTTGTGACAAATTTCGAATGACATGTCAAAATGCGATGAAATAAACAAACTCGTTACTAAGATATGAATTTATAAGCCAACTTTTTCAAACATTATAATTTCAAATATGGAAAATTTGCAAATATGCGTTCTAAAAAACTGTAAAAAGCGTATGACAAAAAATAGTGTATGTAACACGTACCTAAATTATGTTTTTTAGGACTCATCTACTATTTCGGACTCGGCTAACGCCTCGTCCGCAAACAGTAATGATTCGTCCTAAAAAACATCATTTTAGGTACTAGTTACATAAATAGCTATTTTGTGTTCATTTAATAGATTTGGATTTCCTGGAAGTATTATCGGAAGGTATGGAAAAAGTCCTTATGGTGAGAGGTGGTGGTCAAGAAGTAATCACAATATACTCATAATCCTGCATGTAATACTGTGAAAATGTGGGATTAACCATTAGCCTAGCGGGCTAAAATACAAAAGAAAAACCAAAAGCGACAACGGGGAGAGTATCTATAAAAAGTAAAACAAAGTTTTAGATAAGATGTTTACAGTATTTCAAAAAATAAATAAATAAATAAATATATATACATATACTAGGAAGTTAAAATAAAAAGGAATAGTGATTATAACCAAAGAAAAAAATTATTTATTCTTTCTAATGTTAGAAAATGTATTATTCCGAAGACTAATAGAGTTTCCGTTTAAATAAGGAACTTCATCGTCTTCATCGTGATTCTTTATCCTCATAGCTGTTTTAAATCAAAATGATTGTTCCATGAAGTGCTCATTTTTCTACAAAAAAAAACTATACCGGCCGATTTTAGTGATTCGAACGAATTTTCCCTGAATAAACTGAAAAAATCGATGCTTCAAAGTAATTTAATGTGATTGGCGTCTTTTTTAATAAAAATAAATAAAAGAAAATAATAATATTAACTAATAGCGAGGCGCAAGGAGAATAATAGCGATGTAATCAATACGGCGTGATTTGCAAAGAGTTTTATTACGAGTTATCACGATAACTAAAACTAAAACTGACACTTTACCATCAACTTAAAAAGATTTCCCTTTTCATTCCAAAGGATCGTTGCTTTTGTGGGAATATTTAAAAAGATATTGTTGGCCTTATTTTATCCCAACTTTTGCAATTTTTTGTTTACACGCTAGGAAAGAACTAGGTAAATACGAATGTTTATATAAACTTTCTCAAGCTATCTCTATTTACCTAATATGATACATGACCGACAATTGTAACGCCTTTTACAGTCAGTTTTAAATTAATATTGCAGTCGTTTTCAGAATAGTAAAGTGTCGGGAGTTAGTTGAGAATATTTTGATTGATTTATTTTAATAAATAATAATGGGACTCATTTTACAGGTTATATATACTATCTTAGACTGTTAGAATCTAGTCGAAAAAAAGTGCATTTCTCAATCCATCTAAGTCAAGGTGCATTTACATTTGATAAAAATCTGTTTGAATTAGAATAAACCTCCTTATTTCTTAGTTTATGTTAGTTAATATGTATCACTGTTATCTGAATTGAACTACATAATAGAGAAAATTGTTTGTTGAGTATTAAAAATCAATTTCCTAAACCACAATTTAGTTAGTTGACCTAAAATTATGAAATTAAATGTACTTGAACATTCCTTATTTCATTTCTTAATAATATTCATCTATACAGGGTATACAGTCTTCAGTAACTGCAAATATTTTCAGGGCTGGCAGATCTGGATAAAAGAAACATATTTTCTCTGTACAAATAAACCCAATATAACCGAGTTATTTTACTTTGAAAATTTCCAAAAAAAAATGATTTGTTGCTTAAATTTTGAGAACCACTGGATCTTTTCTGGACTTTCTTTCTTGTAAATTTAATCTATTACCTATGTTGCCATATTATCAAGAAATTATGTTTTTTAACTAAAAAAATTTCCAAAAAAAATCCGAATTTTCAATTTTTTTTTCATGAAAAAAAACTCATAATGGTGTTTCTGGTGTCGAAATATACTACCCCTAAAAATATTTGCATTTATTTAAGACTCACCCTGTATATACTTACTTGACTTTTAAAAGCAAGAACTCACAATTTGTCCTTTATAATTCACTTGTAAAATAACTTTTCGAAGGCTTGATTTTCATTAAATAATAATTTTTAAAGTAAATGCATGCTTAAAAGTGTAGAAACATTAAAGTAATTGTGTAAGATAAGGTATAAAACACACGTATTTTTCGCGTACTTAAATATAAATATAAACCAAACATAAGTAAGAAAATTTGAGCAATATTAACTTTATAATATTAAAACTGTTGTATATCTACTTGTCAAATTAAGAGTGATAGTTATCTTAAAAAAACATACTGAAAAACGTACAATCTTATAGTGCGACTACATTTTCTTCCGTAATATATTTAATTAGGAAACCTAACTTATATATTTACTTGGGCTAAATAATGAATGAAACAAATTATTACGCAGGGTGTTTCAAAAACCACTTGTCATTCCACCACTATTTAAAGAACCAGAATTTTTTAAAAACTTTATTGAAGGTTTAAAATACCGTATAATCGAAAAAAAAAACGGCGTCACGGTGACCTTTGAAGTTATCATCGATCGTCGTTTCAGTGGCCACAATGACGGCGTTTTTTTTTGTATTTAATAAATCAAAGAAAAGCTGGTTCCCTCTATATTTTTATAGCAAAGTTACTTAAACTTATAGTTGTTATGTAAATTTTTAATAGTTTATTATAAGAATATACTTATTTAAAATTAAATAATTTTCATATTAAAGAAATATATTTATTATATGTTATTTAAAATATACTTCACTCCTTCGGAGGAGTATAAACTCTAAATTAAGAGCTATTCCGACAAAATGTTTTTATTCCTGTTAAACATTTTAACATAGATATATTAGTGTTATGATATATGTATTTAAATTGATTTTATCTTGGAACACCCTGTATTCGCCAAATATGAACCTGAGGACACGCCCCTATAAAGATAAGAGAGTATAATAGGGGTTTGCATCCCTGCTTCAAGTCCGTTTCCAATAAATTTTCGCCAAATATAATTATTGGCTGTGGAACGAAAACAAACGTTAAAAAAACATCAAAAAAAATCCCCAACATTCAAAATGTATATAGTCCTCTTAAACACCTGTTGTTAATAAAACATTTTGGACAATCACTATATTTTTTTGTATTTTATTATCGAAAAAAGACTAGTTTTATTTAATTAAAATAAAAGAGCTTAAGTACTGTTACGTTGTGAATTAAAAAAGTTTATCAGAGTATTTAGAAACTATCCTGTTTATATAAAATTTTATTTTAAATGTCCTAATATTCTTAAGTAAAACTGAACTATATATGTAAGATATACAAAAAGATTTGGACGAGAATATTGCAAAGTGACTTGAAGGCAAACCGATGTAAACTATCTTACATAGCATGTAAACTAGTGCACTGTCATAGTGATCTAAAATTAGTGGTAAATTTGATTAATTTGTAATAAAATTGATGTACCGACTTTATATTCGCCACCAAAATCGAGATATACGTGGTTCGGTCGCGACATTTTCTCAAAATTGACGAGTAAAATATTTTGAAATCGGTTTTGGTGAAACAAATATAAAGTTGCTAGATAGTTTGGGATTACACCATTGTTACATCAACCAATTATGACTGTTGGTGCCTCTAACTTTAAATGGTGGCGTTGTGGTAGCGAAAAAAAGCGATGTTTACGAATTATTGCTCTCAAAAATAGGACCTTGGACAAGTCATGTCAAATGACATGTCCTCGGGATCGTAACGATTCTATGATTAGATGATGTGTTAGAGAATTAAACAAATACTTGGTTGTGGTGCCATACTCTAGTTATATACATAATATTTATAGTTATATACAACTGTCCTTGGTCCTAATACATTAGTTTTGTTAATTTTTAAAGTAGATACATTTATAGAGTTTTAATTGACGTCCATTTTTTAGTTTAAAATGGCAAATTTGTTCTTTATTCCTATTACCTATATACATTATTATTACTATTATTATTATTAACAATGTGTTCATTGGATAAAAACTAAAGAAATAAAACTTATAATAGTAAATTAACAATGTTTTAATTTCTTACTTTCCCCAATGTCACTAAAAATATATAAAGAAACAAATTTAAAACTTATAAACTATTTAAAAATAATATATTCCTTTATGATCATACATAAACTTTCTTAAACAAATTTAAAAGCATTATTTCTATAGGTTTCTATTTTGAAAAAAGAAACAGAAAACTGTAATTTCCAAGACAACCATTTGCATAATGTCATTTTCATTTTAGGTCATCTAATATAGTCGTATATAGGAGTACACAATTTGTGAGTCTGGCTAAAATTTTCGGATGGATTCACTCCATAAAAAAAAGACAAGTCCATTTATTTTCCCAGACATAATTAACATTTATTAAAATGAATCATTTTATTAATGGGAATAACCGGCTGGCACATCCCAAGTGGGAGGAAAGTCAGTGTGGCTGAACATTTATGAATCAAAAATTTGACAGATTTTTGAAATCCGTAACCCTTATTTTCCCACGCTTGAAATTTAACGTATCATTTGATACTATCATAAACTATAATCAAAAGCAAGTCTGGATGATTTACGAGATTGGCAAATGAGTCTTGAAAATTGCAAAAATTACAAAATTTTTGCTCTTATTTTGCCGGAACCCAACACATTTGAGAACTGCAAAAATAAGTGCAATGGTTTCGATAATTCTTATCCAATTTTCCACCTGCCAGACGTATTACCCTTTTTTTTTTCTTACACCATCTCTCACCAATAGAACTACATATTTTAATCGCTGGAATAAAAAGTGCAGTATATTTGTACTTTCTAACGCATTTTTCGTCTCAACCCATCGGTAAACCCCCATGAAATTTGTTTAGAATAACATCGAATAATTCTATCTGACTAGGAAAATAAGCACCGAAAATCTTCACTGCCTCCTGGACTAATATATTACAGTGACATCTATGAGAATTTAACTAAAATTCTCGAGAAAACTTTTTCTGAAATTCTGAACACCCTGTAATTATTTGACAACCAGCTGTTTTACAGTGATTCAAGGCCTTCAAGGTGTTCGATATATTTAAACAAAACATCCAAACCAAAAAGGTTTATTTGATAATTTTCTTGTGTCGCTAAGTAAAATTAATTAAATAAACTACCAAAATGTGTGCAAAAATGGCATTTCAGCACCAAGCTGGCACAGCTATGGAGTGTTTGAGTGTAAGTTCTCCCTGTTTTGGGTGTAACAAGTGAGTCATTTTTATATTTATGTGATAATTACTGCTTTTAGATACCAATTACATTGCATAAAGAAGTATGTGGGGACCAAATGCGTTGTGGCTTCAAAATTGGTGGAGGGATCGATCAAGATTATCATAAAAGTCCGCAGGGATACACTGACAATGTAAGTTAACATTACAAAGATTTTTTACCTCACAAACATACAAACTGAATCAAAAATTTATAGGGTATTTATGTCACCGAAGTTCATGAATCAAGTCCAGCATCAAGGGCTGGTTTAAGGGTCCACGATAAAATACTACAGTGCAACGGTATTGATTTTACAATGGTAACACATAAAAAAGCTGTTAGCTATATCAAGAAAAGTCCAACACTAAGTTTATTAGTGGCACGAAAAGGTGTGACATCAACATAAACATTTTTATCCAAATATCATATCTCTCTCATTCCATTCAACTATTAAGTATCTTTAGTTACCATCAAGATATGCTTCTTAAGAAATAATTACATATTGCTAGTTATCATGACAGTATATATTTAATTTTAATTCTCAGATAAAGGTAGTTAAACTGATGATTTATTATGCATATACGTAACGTATATGACTTCTTTTTATATATAAATGAAAGTATTCATTGAAAATGCCATATTATAATATTAAGTTTAGTATTTTATTATATTTAGATAATAACTGTTACTTAGTTTTTAAATCAGTAAAACAAATAAAATGTTATACTTAACCACATGAGTGTTAAGAATCAAAATATCTCTAGAATATTACACAAAAGCAAAAAAAAGCATTTTATTTGTTCTATTTGTTGTATAGTAGAAGCTTCATAATTGTGTTTGAAGGTCCTGCGTGTTAAAATATATGGTTGCAAATCGACAATGAGTTTCACTGTTCGTACCACAAGTTAATCAAAAACCTTGCCCTTGATGTGATATTTCAAAATAATCCAATGCTAAACTATTAAATTACTTAATGACAATAAACATACTAACGGAGATAGGTAGGTATATGGTAAAGTATAAACTTTGTCTATTATTAAAAAATCAAGAATATAAACTCTGGATCCTAAATTCAATCACCTATTTCAGTTAATAAAATTACTAAAGAAACTCGTTATGTTATCAACCAGCTTAATGAGAAGATTTGATAAAAAAATATATATACTCACTCAATCAACTTAGTACATGTTAAAACTTTTTAAACAAAAAAGAATTTAGTATAAACTCACCTGGACAACTTATTTTTATCACCCAGAAATGTGCAGAAATTGTTTTCAAAATGGCACCCTTATTCAATTCACATGAAAAAACTTGCAAATCTGCAATGAGCGCGATTTGTTTATATGAACCGATTTCTAACTAGAAAACTTATAAGTAAAACTTATAAATTTAAGGAAAATCGACAATTGCAATAATAAAACTCAGTAAAAACACTATTTCAAGGATTAAAAAACAGAACAAAATTTAAAACGGCCGTTTTCAAAAAACTAGGCGAAAAGTGCGCCCACTAACGTCATTGTGAGGAAAACTCTTTTTGTCTTAGATTTTTTTTTAATTACTAATTAGGATAAATCAGGGATAAATTAATATAATTGATTAAAATTCAAGTAATTTTTTGTTAGTGAATTATATACGTTATTTAAAATCATCACGTAATTTACTCAAATTTAAAGTTCTTTATATTAATAATTAAAAATGTAACTTTTAAATAAGTTCCATTTCAACAAAAAACATTAGGCAACTGTATATACTTTATTTTGATTTTTCTATTCAGAATCTAACCTAATTTTGTGTATTTATGTTTATAAGTTTTTATTTATTTAAATTATAATAAAATGTTTTGGCTGTTTTTCTCTAAATCCATATGCAAAATTAATCCCTTAATAAATATACAGAAAGCTTCGTCATCTACTATATACGCTCTGTCTTCAGGTAATCTTGTATTTAATAACAAAAATCAATAGCGAATTAAATAGTTAGATAGATACTTGCAGGACAAGGAAAATGTGGTGTTGCTGTAATAAGAATATCGGGATCAAATGCCGGAGATGCGTTAAAGAAAATGACCAATTTAAACAATCCTCCTATACCTCGCAATGCACTTCTGCGTAGTATCCGGCATCCAATTTCAAAAGAAGTACTAGATAGAGGTCTTATATTATGGTTTCCAGGTAAGGACTTTTGTTGATTTTAACTTTTGAATGCCAATATTCGTACAATTTCTAGGACCAAATAGTTTTACTGGTGAGGATAGTTGCGAATTTCATGTTCATGGAGGTATAGCAGTAGTTACTGGAGTTTTAGATGCCTTGGGAAGCTTAGCTAATTTTAAATTAGCTCAGCCAGGGGAATTCACAAAACGAGCTTTTATGAATGGAAAACTTGATTTAACTGAAGTTGAGGGATTGGCAGACTTATTACAAGCTGAAACTGAACAACAAAGAAAACAGGCAAGTCAAACTAGATGTTTATGTGTTTCACTTAGTACAGTGATTTTAATTTATAGATTTGCAAGACATTATTTTAAGTAATTTATTTTATTGGTCCATTTAAAGGCATTCTTACAATCAAATGGATCCCTGAGTAAGCTTTACCTAAAATGGAAGAAAGTGTTACTTCACTCGGTAGCTCATGTTGAAGCTTATATAGACTTTGACGAAACAGAGACTCTTGATCATGGGCTGATTGAGAGTGTCGTTGAAGATGTTAAACATATTACTAAGGAGCTAAAATCACACTTGGAGAATGGTTGTAAAGGAGAATTGTTGAGAAGAGGAGTAAAAACTGTTATTTTGGGCCAGCCAAATGTTGGCAAAAGCAGTTTATTAAATTTACTTTGTCAGAGACCTGTCTCAATAGTAACACCTGTCTCAGGAACAACCAGGGATGTTATAGAAGTAACTTTAAATATTAATGGATATCCTTTGGTACTGTTAGACACAGCTGGACTAAGAAATAATTCTCAAGACATCATAGAAATTGAAGGAATGGCCAGAGCTCTTGAAATGTATAAGAATGCAGATCTGATTATTTTAGTCACTGATTTAGAGAAGTATTTATCATACATAAATAAAACTAGGAGTAGTAATTTTGCAGAATATATAAGCCATTATGTGAATTCATTGGGCATAACTGATTTAATGCAAGAGAAATGTAATAATCAATCAGTTAGATCAACGTTTAATAAAAATTGTATTGTCGTTTTGAATAAAACTGACTTAGATAATGAAAATCTATGCAAAAGTATACAGGCTGACATTGTTAAGTTGTCATGTAAAAATGAGAATGGGATCTCTGACTTAGTTGATGTCTTATCTAAACAAATGGAGATATTGTAAGCTATTTTTATTTTAAACAATAATTTTTTTATTAATTTTTCAATCCATTTCAGATGTGGAAACCCTTGTGAAGAACACCCTAGCATGAACCAAATGAGACACAAAGAACAGTTAAGCAGTTGCCAATTTCACTTAGATCTGTTTTTAAAGGAAGCACTGAAAGGTGAATCTTCTGATTTAGTTATATTAGCTGAATACTTGAGAAGATCACTAAGACACCTGGGACAGCTCATTGGAACTGTAACGTCAGAAGATATACTCAATGTTATATTCAGAGATTTTTGTATAGGAAAATAAAATATATTTTACAAATAAATGTTTCTTTTATTAAAAAAAGGATATTTACTTCACCATAAGACACATTTGTGTTGAGGGTTCATTGGACTGTTAAGAGGACAGCTAAAAATACTAGAAAAATCTTCTGAGTTACTCAGGGCTCCAATCACTCTAAAAAGAATAATTTTTAACGCAGATATTTTAATTTTATAGTGATGTAGAATACCTGAACATGCCTGGTGAGTGAACAGATGTTTTTAAACGACTTTGTGTAATTTCAGTCCTCTGTTTACCACACCATACCTGAAATTTTTTAAAATAATAATAATTCTGTATTTTTGGCGCTAATCTGTGAATACCTGGGCAAAATTTAAAAAGAATAACTGTGGTCCTGTCATATTTAAACCTGGCAAAGACTCGTCAGCGTTAGGATTATCGCCCAACCATTTTTCATAAGCCTAAAGAACATTCTTAATTATTAATTACGCTTATTAGGATTCTATAATAATTACTTTATAAGCTTGTTTCAAACCTCCATTATCAGCAATATTTTCTCCTTGGGTTATGAATCCATCCACGGGTATTTTTAATCCAGGTAGTACATATTTTCCATACTGATCTAGGAGAACCACTGTTAATACTAATTGTAACATTATTTTAGGAGTACCTATCATGCATTTTGATTTTTCATAAAATTTTTCTATGGCAGAATTTTTCCACCATAACTGCAAGTTTCCTTTATGGTCAAATAGTCGCCCTTTATCATCAAATCCATGGGTAATTTCGTGACCTATAACCACCCCAATGCCACCATAATTGAGGGCTTTAGGAAAGTGCTTGTGATAAAATGGTGGCTGAAGAATTCCAGCAGGAAACACTAGAAAAGATATTTAATACTTGAAAATAAATTTAAATCAATATCAAACTTACATATTTGATTTTTGTTTCTGCTATAATATGCGTTTACTACTGCTGGTGGTGTGTTCCACATTGATTTATTAACATACAGACCAATTTTCTTCTGTTCATCCAGACTGGAATGTCGCAATATGCTAAGAACATTTTCAAAAAAGAAATTCTCCTCTATCTTCACATCCCTATATTTTAAATTAAGTTCTGTTGCATTCAACAAAAAATTGGGAAAGCCAATCTTTAAGTCCATGTTATTTATTTTTATTTGTGCAAAATCTTTTGTCTGGCGATCCAACCATTCTTTCTCCTGTAACATATCCAGGAACGCCTGAATAAGGTTTTCAGTGATCTTTGTGGTCTGAAAGTGTAGGAAATTTAATACATTCTCTTACTACTTATTAAAAAAATTATATCTACATCAGATTTACTGTTTTTATCGAAGTAATGTCTGATAAATAATGATCCCAGTGCCATTCCCATGTTTGTGTTAGTTTGCAATACGCAAAATTGCCATCTTGGAGGTTGTTTTTCTCTTCCAAATAATGCATGGTAAAATCTACAAACTTTCAGTTTAATTTTTATGAATATATGTAATGTGAAATAATAAAATAATACTTCTGTACGCTTTCCATAAATCGGTAATCCAAATTCTGCGTTCTATGTCTCACAAAGCGCCATAATAAATAATTTTGTATTACCCTAAAAGTGTTATTTTTTAGACATACTTTAAGAAAGATTTGAGTTATAATTGTTTTCATAAATTAATTTTTACTAAACAGAGTGTTTTATTTAAAAAAAATATATAAAACAAGGGCAAAAATTCGTAGTTAAGTTGCGTGGCGCGCTCAAGGATATCTCGTGTATGTTGAGTTGCCTATGATAAGTTTATAACATTTTATTTTTGAAAATTTGATGGCCAAGTTGGAAGTTAAAAACATTAATGGATCAGTTTATAAGTTTATATATTAATTAATAGTGCCAATTTATTAATAAAACGTGTGATACTGTTTTTAACTTACCTGGGATTGGTTTTATTTAAAAGATTTAGAAGTTGGTGTAAATATCGCGCACAATAACATGCAACTGGATAAGTCAAATCGATTTCTTTACCTAATACAGCGGTAAAATAGCTTTCCCAAGCAAAATTCGGAAAATGATTTGCTAGAGTCTCTACTGTAGTTCTTAAATAAACCTCCGTTATATTTCCTCTTTCTTCAGCCGAATATGTAATCTAAGAAATATATAATTCATGAAAAAATGCAAATTAGGCAAACAAATCCTTACAGAAGCTAATCTTGTCTCAAATTGAACCAAATCCTCAATGTCCTCCAGAGTTGTGCTGGTTTGAGAGCCCAACAAATTTGCAATCGATAAAATAAAAGATTTGTAAGCTTTAATAAACTTCACATTGCGTGAATCTAAAAAATAGTCCCTGTTTGGCAATCCCAACGTAGTTTGATCGATCTGAAAACATTAGGTTTTTTATTACGATAAAATAAACTATGTCAAGATGTCTTACGTGAATGATGTATTTGTTTGAATTCTTTATATCTGGCCCTATCCACTGGGATATCAAAATGTCGTTGTTTAGCAGCCTTAACCTGGATAACAGCCACATGAAATCAAAATCCGACTTTTTCCAGCTTGATGTGATCAATGGCCAGCCTCCTAAATCTTCTAGTAGCTTTCCTAAAGGTTTCTCTCCTCGTTTGTTAATTGTTCCTAAAGAAATACAATTTTATCTGGTCACCCCCCTGAGCTGAAAGAACGAAATACCTTCTTTCATACACGATCTGTAGAACTTTTTGGCTTTGTCAGTGGCATCGCTGGGATCATACACCTCATAGTTTTCATTCAAAAAGTCTTTCAAGTCATGGTAATCAGAAATATCATCGTCCTGGGGCTGCATGAAGCAAGAAGGATTATTTTGTGTTGTAAAATTTAGTTTAAAGTTACCTTTTCACTGTAATCACTTTCAAGGAGTTCTTTTAACACTATATAAAGGTTTTCCCTCACCATTTCAAAGGTGTCATATACTGCTTTGTCTGGGGGAACGTCGTAATAATTTTTCCAGTTTCCACAAGCATACTCGTAGAAATTCTCGCAAGGATTCACGTCTGTGTTCATGTATTTCCTCATAATCCTGCCTATAAAATAGTGGTGAGTCTTTTTAATGTTTCAGTTTCATTTAAATAGTTACTGCTGGTTCTCTACTTGCTTTGTTCCAATTTGATATCGTCTGGAGAGTTTTTCGTAATCCAGAAATTCCGTACATCTTTATCCAGTTCGGTAAATCGATGATTACTCTGAATTGTTTTGGCGTTCTTAGCGCTGTTCCTTTTATATCTTTTCCTGTAATTTTTTTCTCGGAAAATATCAACGTTTTTCCCTCTTGACCGAAACTTTGCCGAGCATTTTCTCAGCAGCCGATGTTTTCCTCGATATTTCAAGGGAAAAGTTTGCCAGTTTCGGGCAAAGTATCCTGGATACTCGTCAATGTAATCACTTTTTGTTTCTCTGTTGTTCGCAGTATCGAAAAAGGATTCCTTTTCGAAATGAAGTTTTAAGTAAAGTTTGTAACAACGTTTAAAAAGGTAGGGAAATCTTTCATTCTCTGATATCCCTCGTTTTTGTCTCGCTCTTGAGTCAAACGAAAGGGAAGTATTATTTTCAGGCAGTTGTTTTTCAAACTTTACAGCAGAATCTACAACAAAAATACTTATGAAATTTTAATATCTACAACAAAAGTGTTTTTATGTTCTTAATTTACTTACCTTCATTGTACATTATGTTGTATCTAGTTACAAAAATAATTATCATTACAATAGGTAATAGTATGATAGGAAGAAACGCCAATTTTTTCAAACAAGTTTGCCATTTTTTTTCATGTCCAACACACCACCTAAAAAGAACAAAATTACAACGTTGTTTATAGACAAGACATTAATGTAACAATTGCACTGCATATTATTATATAATTTTACAAGTTCAGGGCTGTAAATGTTGGTTATCCCCTCTTATCAGTGCTTTTGCAACTGCATAATATACAGAGTGTTCTATCCAAGCAAGATTGGCAAACGAAAAAAAAATTATTAAGAATTTCGTACATACCGAATCCTGCCACTGTCTTGTGAAGGGGTTAATCTACAAGAAACGAATTTTTTTCTGGTTTTTGGCTCCATATCGAGCGTATTCACACAACGCCATATAGCCAAATAAATGAATACGACCTTTAGACAAATTGATATAATTGGGTCATTTTGATTTAACTATATAGAGGATCTTTTATTATATGTGTAAATTTACACTGTGAGACAACTGATTAATTCACCTTAACGGTAATTTTGTTTGACTTAAATACCATTCAAATTCATCTGTAATATATCCAGCCTTTTCAAAATAAAAATATAAAAATAAGTAATAATCTCCTAAGCCTTATTCTAAGCACTGAGAAAGATATTTTTTTTTAAATGGAGGAAAACAAAGTAAGGTATCGGAGTAAAAAAGACAAAAAACTTCCAGGTATATTTAGCACTTAGCAGGGATGCTACACGCCCCGTTGTGCCGGGGTGTAAGAAGTCGTCCATCCATTTTGGCGGTCCCTGTATAATTTGTGGGCCATCTTAATTGATTGTCTCACGTTGTTTTTATGGAACCTGTGCTTTTATTTTAAACTAACAGATCATCCCGCTGAGTGGTTTTGCCGCGTAGGTTGTAATTTGAACTGCCGCTACTTTTTATGGCGGTACTCAGATCAATTCGTACCGCCACAGATGCTTTGATCGAAGATAGCTACCACTTATTCCGAAAAGAAAGCTGTTAAAAGCCCACCGAGTGTTCCTTTTATTGTTATTTTTGTTTTTTCTTTTTATTTCTACTTGACTTGAATCAGGGATCACTTTGATAAATTTCGTTTAAACAAAGAAAATATATTTATTTGAACATATAAACGTAGCAATATGTTTCTTAGGAATTAAGTTTTAGTGTAGTGTATGCATCTTGGTGTTCATGACGAAAAAAGTTGTCAAAATGCTGAAAATGTATTTTTATTACGTTATGAATGACTACAATATGTATGAAAAACCTTGCTAAACAATTTTTATCTTAATTGTCAACAGAAATATTTTTTTCCTAATAATGTGTGTGTCCTCTGCGGCTTCTACGCACTTCTGCACTAGGATTTGCAATAGACTGAATGAGGCTCCAAATAATCTCTTGAGGAAAGGCGTTCCACTCCTCCCGAAGATTTTCTCCCAAAGTTTGGAGATCTAGTGCTTGTGGACAACTTTGTAGTCTTCTCTTTAGTAGGTCCCAAAGGTGCTCAATAGAATTAAGATCAGGGCTATTAGCAGGCCAATTCATAATTGTGATATTGGACTCTTCAAGGTATTGAGTAACTACTCTTGCAGTATGAGGCCTGCCATTATCCTGTTGTTAGATGAATTCTAGACCACGCTGAGCAGCAAATGGAATAACATATGGTTTAAGAATTTCATCTCTGTTCAGCATTAATTGTGCTCATGAATCGTTTCCAAAATGAATCACTTCTCTGACTGCTGTGTCCAGATACCGTTGATTCGGTCTTCTGTATACTCTCCGCCCAGAATCATTATGACTTAGTCGAAAACGGAACTCGTGCGTAAAAAGGACGTACCTCCACTGATCCATGCCCCATTGAAGATGTTCTTGAGCAAATATCCATCGTGCCCTACGATGATTAGCAGTTAAATGCGGCACAACAGCTGCTCGTCTTGATCGAATGTTAACTTCATGCAGCCTATTTCTTACAGTTTGAGTTAAAATTTGTGTTCCTGTGGCAATCGTAGGAAGATTTTGTAGGTTTTTTGCGGTAAGTGTTCTTTCATGAAGAGCAGCTTTAACAAGATACCGATCTTCCCGCCTCGCTGTTCACCTTACTCATTGAGGATATGGTCTGCGGACAACAAAACCATATTCTCTGTGTCGATTCCATAGTCTGGAAATGACCGATTGTGTAACATGATAAAGCTGCGACACATATCGTTGCGACCGACCCTCCTGCAATAAAATTGTGACTCTGATGGCTTTTTCAATATTTAAACGCCTTCTAGCACCGTTTAGTGTTCCCAAAACATCAAAATTTGTCATATTTAACACCAATTTTGACGATCAAGAAGGCAAAATCATACTAAATAACAAATTGATTTTATGGAATTTATACGTATTCGAGTGCATCTTTAGCTTACTTCGGGTTTCTCTTACCGATTCTGAACCGTCCTAGAACTGTGATGCGTATGCGCAGAAGGAAATATGAAGACATTATTTTATTTGCGCATGCGCTGCAGAGTTCTAGGACGGTTCAGAATCGGTAATAACAAGAACCCGAACAAAGCTTTTACTGTTTTTTTCTATGACGGGAAACAATTTCGTTTTTGTATCAATTTATGCATGAAAAAAAAATTGTTCGTGCGTAAAAAGAACGTACCTCCACTGATCCATGCCCCATTGAAGATGTTCTTGAGCAAATATCCATCGTGCCCTACGATGATTAGCAGTTAAATGCGGCACAACAGCTGCTCGTCTTGATCGAATGTTAACTTCATGCAGCCTATTTCTTACAGTTTGAGTTAAAATTTGTGTTCCTGTGGCAATCGTAGGAAGATTTTGTAGGTTTTTGCGGTAAGTGTTCTTTCATGAAGAGCAGCTTTAACAAGATACCGATCTTCCCGCCTCGCTGTTCACCTTACTCATTGAGGATATGGTCTGCGGACAACAAAACCATATTCTCTGTGTCGATTCCATAGTCTGGAAATGACCGATTGTGTAACATGATAAAGCTGCGACACATATCGTTGCGACCGACCCTCCTGCAATAAAATTGTGACTCTGATGGCTTTTTCAATATTTAAACGCCTTCTAGCACCGTTTAGTGTTCCCAAAACATCAAAATTTGTCATATTTAACACCAATTTTGACGATCAAGAAGGCAAAATCATACTAAATAACAAATTGATTTTATGGAATTTATACGTATTCGAGTGCATCTTTAGCTTACTTCGGGTTTCTCTTACCGATTCTGAACCGTCCTAGAACTGTGATGCGTATGCGCAGAAGGAAATATGAAGACATTATTTTATTTGCGCATGCGCTGCAGAGTTCTAGGACGGTTCAGAATCGGTAATAACAAGAACCCGAACAAAGCTTTTACTGTTTTTTTCTATGACGGGAAACAATTTCGTTTTTGTATCAATTTATGCATGAAAAAAAAATTGTTCTGAATATATGCTGCTATAAATATACGGAGATCGGTTTATAAACATATAGTAAATACAGATATGCACATATAGGTGATCCCTAATTCTTTTTAATTGCATGGTTTATATACATACTTATTTATTTCAGTGTAGAATGTGCTGAGACGGAAATGATTATTCGAATGAACATACTTAGAAGAAAAGACAAGCTGCATGGGCAAGACAATGTGGCGAAGACAAACACAAAAGATCTGTGGACCGTTTGAAAAATAAATATATTTGTCACGTAAGAAACGGACTTCTGTTAACAAAAGGAGGATAGTTATTTGCATATACACGGACACAACACCTGAGGTGTTCAAAAACAACATCAACCGATCCAAAGTCAATATTGGCCGAAACATCTCAGCTCAGGGAGTGTCAATTCATATCGCCTAAAGAGGTTCCTAGCTGGGAGGTCACTTACGGCAAACACTCAAAAAGCAATGCTACTAGCTATTGCCTAACAAAACGATACCTACTCGGCCATCTTGTTTGTTTTGTATCATATACGGAACGAAAAAGGATCGAATTTTTCTATTGTGCCTCAGTCTCTTTTTAATTTTATACTAGAATATTTTTCACACGTAAATATATTTTATTTTATATATAAAATATAGACTGTGTATTTCAAGTCATTCACTTACAATACTTGTAACCAGGGTTGGCATAATTTAAATAAAATTATTCAAATCATGATTTAAATCAAGTGATTTTTTATTTTAATCATTTGATTTAAATAAAAAAAATCAACTTTTTAAAACTTTATAATATATCGAAAAATAACAGTAAAAGTTATAAAGATGTGTCCTAGCAAACTATAAAAAATATTAATTCATCAAATAAAATGCTACACTTGCTGTTGTAACGTTTAAACACTTTTAATAAATCGAAAAATAATTGTAAATGTTATAAAACTACATAAAAAATGATTTGTATAACACAATATACCTACTTCATATCTATTCATCAATTAAAATGTTGGACCAATTTTTTAAGTAATTTCGTGTGAATCCATTAGGCCTCTAAACGGCAGGGATTTATTTTCAAATTTATGTACAGGGTGAGTCAACGATAGAGTAAAGTCCATTATCTCATTTGTTTCGAGGTTTACAAAAAAAATGTTAAATATAAGAGTTATAGAGAAGGTTAAGATACACATTTTAAAATTATTGTAGAGTATACAGGGTGCTTCAAAAAAGTGTGGCGGACATAACATGTTTTTTTAAATGCAACACCCTATTTTTTATTTTATTTTTAAATTCTGCGTAAAATTCCATAACTTTTTTATATATAATGTTATATACCTAAAATTAATAGTTTTTGTAATATTTAAATTTGTTTAAACAAATGATAAATTGCAGTGTGATAAAAAATCGTCAGTGGTACCATTGTTTCTGAAGTTGCAATACCAAAATTTGGTATGAGAGTTTTATAAAGATGAAAAAAAAAGATATATGTAAAGATATTTTAGTTAAATGCTACAGGGTGTTAAAAATATACTTATGAATTTCAACTATTTAAAATTAAAAAATCTCAGATTTTTTAAATGGTACACCCTATATATTTTCATTTTTTCTGATAGATTTTGCAAAGCTCTTCAATTTTTATTAAGTATGTCATATACCTATTTTTAATAGTTTGCGATTTATTCCAATTTTTTCTATTTTTACACTAATTTTTAATACAATTACGCTATAACATCATAGTTACCGTGACAAAACGAAAGTATTTATTACTTATCTTTAACAAGTAGTTTAATAATTAATTGCAATAATTGTTATTATTAGTTAAAATTAATTAAATTTACTCAAATCAATTAAAATCGTAGTCGTGAATTTCTTGGTATTATTAAAGATAACACTTGGATTTTCCGTCGGGGCTAATAGCCACAGATTAGGGTAATACTAACTAGATTATCTAATTG